ATATACATATAAAAAACATACACACACACATATATATATATATATAAATATATTAATATATATATATATATATATATATTAATAGAGCGCTCCTCTATCAAGTTCTTGTGAGTGGCACTGTGGGGGGGTTCCATAATGTTAAGGCCCACGGATGTGTTTTACTTTTCGAAGACTCCGTTTCGACTCAATTCGAAAGTACCATGGCGTGCGTTCAACGAATCTCACTGACTAAGACGGGGGTTTAGGCTTCTGTACTCTATATGCAGGTACCTGGGCTCCTACACGCAGATCTTCCAATATTCCTGAACTCAGGAATATGCCATAGACTTATAAAGTACGATCCCTAGTATGATCTAAGGCCTTCATTGTCCTTAATGACGAGATTTTCGAAGATCTGGCTAGTGACTCTGGACCCGAACGCGCTGCAGAGGATCCCTCCGGAAGCGCTCTTTATGCTGAGAAAGAGGGGCGAAGTCTCCAACTAATGTAGGGGCCTTAATAATTAGAGTAGGTTTTTGTGGGAGGTATTCTATTGAACCCTAAGGACCAGCATTAGTAATTATTCTGGCTTCTGCATTAATCCTGAATCTGAACCCTGGACATAATCAACCACACAGCATCCGAAACCCACCAAAACTTAAACTCCGAGTCCAACTCTCAAACCCTCAGTTTCGGTTTAGGGGTTTAGGGTTTAGGGTTTAGGGTTTAGGGTTTAGGGTTTAGGGTTTAGGGTTTAGGGGAGAGCCAAAAGAAATCCCCTCAAGAACGACGACTTAACCCTCCCAAAATGGTTAACTCCTACACGCCCTTGATCCGAGCCCCTCAAACCCACCAAACTTGACCCTAACGGTTTAGGGTTTAGGGTTTAGGGTTCAGGGTTTAGGGTTCAGGGTTTAGGGTTTAGGGCTTAGGGTTTCTAAGCCCAAAACAGATCCCCAAAACCCACGTCGAGCCTCCGGAAGATCAGTCTGCATCGTTCGAGTGGGAAGACCACCCCTGCAGAGGCTTTGAGGGTTAATGTAGGGGCCTTAATCATTAGAATAGGGTTTTGGGGTCCTTTATAGTATAGTTTTAAAAAAGGAGCCCCCAAAAATAATATAGGTAATTATTGAGGCCCCCAATATTGAGGGTTTGGGGTTTGCAGGACTTGAGGGCTCTAGGATCGTTTTGGATCTTCATGGAGGCCGACATCTTGGAACTGATGACTTCAGACTTGTACTCTCCAACCTTGGGGTTTAGGGCCTTAATAAGCTTAAGTATGTCGGGGTCTTAGCAGGATCCCGTTGTGGGGTCTCGGGGCTTCGGGTTGGGAATCTGTAGGATTCTGGGGTTGATGGCTTACGGTTTTAAGGTTTATGGCTTAGGGGTTGGGTGTTTTAGGCATGAGGGTTTGAGGGTGTTTTGTTTGCGGTTTTGGGGTGCCGACCGCTACCGGGATTCGACACACTGGGCCTGCAATCCTCACAAACGGGTGTCGGTCTTGGATCTATTGCCTTGATGTCTCAAAATGCCACACAACATCCCGTAAATGTTGCCGTGTCTGCATGTTGCTGTCTCCACAGCGCCGAGAGACACTAGGATGGGTGGACTTGTGCTGGATATGAAAGGGGGGCTGGGATGAGAGGATGAAACCAGAACCGCCAGAACGACAACCTCAACCGCTTACTCCCATCCTGTCGTTGCTAGGGAATTAAATTCTAGCTCAATGTGAGCTCAGTGATACTGTTGAACCTTGAAGGAACGCGTGTAAAGACCCGCTCCCTGCTTGGAATCCTCCCTTGAATCACCCTTTGGAACGATCTTCAGCTGGGGTCCGAGCGGATCTTTGATGGACATCTGAAGCACCTGGCCACCCAGAGGGTCCTATGCACCTACATAGGGGATACAGGGTTTCTATACTAGGAACTACCATTACGATTTAGTGAAGAATCCCCCCTTAAAGTACATAGACCCTTTGGGGCAGCCCTCACTATCCATACCCTCAACCCTAAACCCGGAACCCTATAAACCCTGAACCCGAAACCCCGAACCTTAAACCCTAAACTCGGAACCTTGAACCCTAAACCCTAAACCCGAAACCTTAAACCCTAAACCCTAAACCCGGAACCTTAAACACTAAACCCGGAACCCGGAACCCTAAACCCCCGAACCCTCAGGGACCTGGGAGGTGGTCGGTATCTCCAAAGCCGGGAGCAGCTGCGCCAGGAGTTCCTAGGCTTTGGGTAGCTGGGGATTTAGGGTTTAGCAGTTAGGGTTTAGGGTGTAGGGGCCGGTTTAGGAGTAAGGGTTTAGGGTTTAGGAGTTAGGGTTTAGAAGTTAGGGTTTAGAAGTTTGGGTTTAGGGTTTAAGAGTTATTAGGTTTTGGGGCTTAGGCCTAGCCTTAAGGGTCCGTGCAGGGTTTAGGTCTTTTGTTGAACGCCCTTTTTCTCTCTGCTGGGCGTAGGGGCAAAAGGGCTTAGGGCTCAGGGGTTCAGGTTTAAGCTTTACGGGTAATGTGCCTATAATGGGGTTTCTATAACGTTGTATAAGGGTTTGATTAGGGTTGTATGGGGCTTACCATACGGAAGGAGGAAAGGTTCGTGAACCTCTATCGTATTCACATGTATTTACTTGAGCCTGAAACGGGGTCCCATGCAGTCACTGTAGGGCCAAAGTATATACTGTGTGATTACTTGGGCCACCCTTGCCGAATCAAAGCTCGACGCTAGGGTGAAATAAAAGAGACCCTCCTACCGTTCAGGGTTTCGGGATACCCTATTGACTTTAAACCACAAACCCTCACGTGGATGTGTGTCCTGGTTGAAAGGACTTGGGCTATTCCGGAGATTACTCTTTGCGCGGCTTTTTGATTCAGGTTCTTCCAACCAGTGAGATCTTGGCCAAAGTGAGTCGAGCATCATCGCTGGCTGCCGTGAGGGAGCCGTCTTTCAGGTGTGCCCTGCTGAGACGAAAAACCGGCGTTGGGTTTAGGATAGCCGCCTTACTCAATAGAACAAGCCTTCAGAATAGCATATATTTATCATATGGGTGGTTGTCAAAATTATGGTCTCTTTACCCCAAAATGGGACCCTAATTTTGACAACTACCCATATGTTACAATACGGAACTCTAAGGAATGATGTGGGTAAGTATACAGTTTCGGATTTGGGGTTCTGCGGAAGCGCTAATGTAGGGGCCTTAATAAGCAGAATGGGGTTTTGGGCTCCTTTATACTACAGTTATAATAAGGAACCCTAACCCTTAGGCTCTAAGAACTCATGTTCGAAGGCTTTTGGGCCCAAAGACCATACTATAAAAGGCTTTTGGGCTGCTTCGATCCTTGGGTAATTACTGTTGGTGATCGAAATCCTGCATTTACCTGTGGGAATTATGGCATATTCCTATTATGGGGAATGCAGGATTTGTATCATCAACCGTGTTTAGGCTTCGATAGTAGGCCTCAGGGCAGGGATGCTTTCACTGCTGCTCTGGGCCGCCCGGATTCGGGCTCAGGAAGAGCCCTATCGTCTCCATTCTGGGGATGTGGGATTGAGGGTTTAAAGGGTTTAGTGGTTAAGCTGGCTGACGGAAACAGCGCAACCATGGAAACCTGCGGTATTAAGTTATCACCTGGTGAATTAACTGCAGAGTGCATTCGAGTTGCTCAAGAAACTGCACTGGCATCAGGCCTGCTTCTGAATGCGGCACTATGCCCAAATGCTAACTTATATGTTCGACAAAAGGTGTCGGTTGCATGCAATAAAAGTCATGACTACATATTCCTGCTCAGAGCTGTTTTCCTGTTGCAACCTCCGCAAAGCCTAAAGGTGTCCCGTTGAGCGAAAGCTTCCTCAACTGCAAAAATAAATAAATCCTTAACCCGACAACCTTGCCGGAACCTCTGGTTACACCCTGAGCCCTCATGCCTGGCAAGCACGCCCTGAAGGACGTCAACCTTGATTTCCCATTTTTGAGCTACCACAAGGGAACAGAGGGAGGGCTGAGTATGTGGCCCGGAGTACCTATAGGTTCCCCAGTAGACCCTTGATAGTAAGGGAACCCAAGGACAGGGGGCAAAAGGGTCCCTAAAGCCTGCATTACGGCCCATAAGCCCTACACCTAAAGCCTAAAGGGCGCAGTGTGACTGCGTCGCAAAGATTTCGAACGTGTTCATGAGAAGCTGGTTTGAGAAGCCCACGTCAGAGAAAAACAGCTTCTAAAAGCATGAGCGAAAGGTTCTCCATCGGAGACACGGGAAGATTCAGAAAATAAGGACCCTAAAGAAAACCTGAATCACAAAATCAGTGTTATAAGGACTCCTCAAGAGGTATTCTAGCTTTGTGAAATCCCCATCTAAGTACGAGTAGCTGTCTACAGAAGGTCTGTGTAAGTGTAATGCACAAAAACCTGCTTTGCTTTGAGGTCAGAACTGGTGCCAACTTTGGGCTATTGTGAGGTCTCAGGGATTGTTCAGACCCAGGTCTATGTAAATCCCTTAATTGAGGATTATACCTTCTATCAGAAGCCGAAAAGAGAAGGACAATGGAGACTACAGGTAAGGGCCGGCGTACCTGTAGTGCACATACTTTGGTCTTGAATCGACTCCCGTATTATTTGGTGCTGTAAGGGCAATGTATATGCTATACAGGTACATGGACCCTTACAAACACACGACTTGCACAGCAGAGGCTGCCGCAGTGAGGTGCTTGGACAGCAGCTCACGCAGACGCTGTTGCACCTGGGAAAAAGACCAACCCTTGCTGGAATCTGATCACAGCGAAACTGTACTAGAAGTCGTGCTGACGCTGATGATGCTGATGCTGCCGCCACTCCAGTTCTGAGTGTCCCAAGGGTCCTGAGGGCCCGGATTTCTTAGACCAAGAAATCTTGCAGCCAAGAGACTGGACCACTCCTAACTGTCGAGTCTTGCCTCTACTGCTACGAGAAGGCTAGGTTTTGAGACGACGACGACGACGACGACGACGACTACTACTACTTTTACT